CGGGAGGGAGGGGTTGACATTTTTCAATTATTATTTCGATTCAACGCACCGTTTCCGAGTTATAGAACACTTTTTTATCCTATGATGTCACACACCATTGCTCCCGATTTTTTTTTTTGACATACGGGTTTTGACGTTTTTCACTGGTTCATCATGGGAGATTTATTTGTTCACCATGGGAGATTTTTTTTAGAGTCTAAGCAAATACTGTTTTTTTTTCTTTCATATATTTTGAGGCCCCGCTCTGCGTCACCCACCGAGTGCTCTACTCAGAACCAAGGGGAAATTTGTTTATATTTCCAGCCATTTCCGAGTTACGAGCAAAAAGCGTTTTTTCTTCTTATACTGTGTGACATCAGATCGATAACGAAGGCTAAAAAGGCCACGCGCTCTACCCCACGCTCCCTCCCTAGGTGTCCTGAAATTGCTGGGGAGACTCCTGAAGCAGCAGAGAGAGAGAGATAAGCTCTCTATGAGGACAGAGTCACTCTATCTCNCTTAAACCAGCGACATTCGTATAGGGCATGATGAGCTCAAACATAATATTTTGATGTCTAGTATCTCCAGTTAAGTGTTGACCCATTCTTTTTGACTCACCCTGTATAAAACAATGATCTGAAATGGACAAAATGTGATCATATAATGAAGTCTACTCTAGAAAATATTTATAGTTTCCGATAATGCTTTAGTTTGATGGATGGATATTACCTAAATACCTATATAAGTAAATGTATATAAATAAAAATTAAGGTAGTTTCTGCCAAACATCGTTTTTAATTAGGTTATTTTGTTGAACATGTTGTTTCCGTATTACAACCTTTCTACAACAAAACATTTTAGAAAGAGTGGGTTGAAAAATTCTTATATTTGTTAGATACATAGGAATAAATGAATGAGTGAAATATCTTTTATTTTACTAATTAATACGTACTCGGTTTAAGGGCGGGCCAATTTGCTCTTTGAATACGGTTGTCTTCAAATTCAATCCCTCCATAACTTAGAAGGAACCTGATGGGTTCTCCAAGGGCGGTAAAATCAAAATACGTAAGTTTGTAAGCTGGTGCCATTTCTGGAAAGATAAGAAATTTTTAGGTAAAACATAGGTATACCAAACCGTATTAATATGTTCAAATATGTTGGGGTTTTCCACGTTATCAAGTCCCATAAACACATTAGATTTCTATATACAGTGTGACCCATTTGAAACCGAATCAGCCTCATAAAAAATTTTGTTTACAGGGCGATTTTGATTATCTTTTTTAATTGAAGAGGGGAGAAAAGTGTACTTTGAGACGTTTTTGTACAAAAACTAAGGCCTATCAGATCATTTTTTTGGGGTTAAAAATTTATGAAACTACAATAGCGATTTTTTTATATCTGATTAATTTTATGTTAGAAGCTCCCATATATTAAAATGCAAATATGCAACAGTTAAAAATTAGTTGTTTGTTATGCCAAAAACATAAAACTAACATTTTTTAATATGATACTACAAAACTTCAAAAATTGTGGACAAGTTTCAAAATAAAATTCTAATTTTCTGCACTCTATATATAAAACTGTCAATAATATTAGTTTTAAGATATTTGGGCCAATTATCATATATTAGTCAGCAAATATATACCTACATTTAGTTGCCATTTTTTATCAATCACCGTGTCTTGAAAAGTCTTTAAAACATTAAAAAATATAGAAAGTCATACTCTCAATTTCTCCACGTCCCTTGGCCCTGGATTTTAGTATGTTTCTGGATAATACACCTAAATATTAAATTATTAATGTGGAGATTAGTTACCACTGTCTATTCATTCATACGTGTTTCTATGTTCATTAAGAACATTTTTATTCAGTAACGCTGATATCTTTTTTGAGTAATACATACTTAATATTAATATCTTTACTTATACCCATTGCTACTATGCTTTTATTTTTTTTTGCTTTATCAGATTAGATTAAGTTAAGTAAGAAGCATTTAAGTAAGATTGAAGTAAAAAGCAGAGATACCTTATGATCTTGATAATCTTGAGCCCAAAATATGATATGTGATTGAGCAGAATATACCTCATTTGCAAGCTTCAGGTTCATAAAGTTTAAAAAATATATATACATAGGTATAGAACAAATAAACCAATATCTCGGCAGATGTTTGTCGTAGATTAAAGAAACAGTGGCAACATAACTAAATTCATTTCCATACAATTTTATGAACCAATAGCGGAGGTATTGGAAGACAAGTGGCTGAAGAACTACAATATTTCGATATTATTGATTATTATTTTAAAAATTCATTTGACTCGTATCAGTATCTCAAGGAAAAAAAGGTCTTGTCGATTTTATTTGAATAACAAGTCATTTTCGGATCTAAAATAAACTTATCACACAGTTGAATAAATCGAAAACAATTCTCAAACTGTTCGTTTCACGTAAGAAAAATGTACCTATTAGAATTATTAATTACAAATTCAATTTTATAACGGAATCATTAACAGTTCGAAAAATTAGTACTACTATACTACCCCTTAGCAAATTTAAAATTTCTTCGTTAATTTTTATATTCATAACGATTACATTATATTCGTAACATAAAATTACTATAAGCGTTACTTGTGAAACAGTTTTAGTTATTTCCTTTTTCTTCAACTGTAAAGTAAGTTTATTTTAGACAAAAGAAAAATAATACCTGGGAAAATATTCCTTTTATGAATAAAATATAGAAAGTGTTTTTTCTTTGAAATTGTGTATGAATTTAAAAATTTCAGGTTTGTCGAAATTCTAACGTTCTTAGTGACGGGGTCTTCTAGTATATCCGCCAGTGGTTGATAGGGCTGTGTACAAATTCAGTAAATATTTACCTTTATTTATTTAAGTCGTTATTGCATATTTGTAATGTTTCTTTTTTATCTTTACACCCTGTAACATTCAATTACCATATTTTGGTCCCAAAAGATTATGAAGGTACCATATGGGTTCTTTCATTAAAATACACCCTCTACAGATTTACTAAGAAAATTTATGTTTGAATACAAACGAAGAACACACAACTTGTGTTAGAAACATAAAGAAAATTATTTCGTTACCTTAATGATTTGCACTAGTAGAAAAATAAAGTCACAACTACCTCTAAGCAACGACAATATACAAATGACTGATTTCACATTATGATTCTCTAAGCCTGAATTTTTTTGTTGACAGAGATAAGGAGAGAGGAAAGCTCTCCAGAGAAGATATGCTGATATGTATGTACAGGGTGATTCACTATATTTTGACCCCCCCCCCATTAACTTTTTTGTTTTAAGAGTTATAAAAAAATGTAAATTACAAAAGTTGCACGATTTTTTATGAATTTTTCGAAAATGAAATTTGAATAAATAATTTGAATAATAATAATTTTAATAAAAAACCTTTCTTTTCATTTTTTAGTATTATCTCGCTTATTGTTAAAGGTGGACCCAACAAACCCTATATGACTATGCTCGACAGGGAACGTTCTATCCAAATATGTAAAAATATACAGGGTGTTCCATTTAAATTAACAAAGTTAATATCTGCGGCCATTTTGTTTGGACTTCATTTGTTTTTCAAATATTGCCATCACTGTCTCCATCACTATCATCTATTACATTTTCGACTATTTCAGGATTGGAACAGTTGGTTCTAAAACAATTTGTACATGCAATTGTGCATGTAACTTCATGCTCCCTGCACCCGTAAGATCTGCATTGTCGATAATCGGATTTTGTCGCCTAATTGTTATGCATTATCCGCAGTCGCTCGGGTCCAAGAGATTCTTTTGAGAATCCATGATCCATGAAATATTCTTCGGTTTTAAGCAATATTTCTTTGATTTAACGAAATGTGTCTCTTTGAAACGGATTGTCCAGGATTTCTCCAATTCTACGACAATTTTTCTCAGTGATAGACACGCTAAGATTAATGGATATTTTCCAGTGTCAGATTCGGAATCCCCGACCCCGAAAACCCCCGAGTAGAAATTTAGAAGGCAATTACTCAGCTCTTCGATGTTTTACAGAAGGCCCCCTTGCCCCCCTGGGGGCCCCAGGGGCATCGGACATACGTTTCAATGTCAGAATCGAAATCCCCGACCCCAAAAACCCCCGAGTGGGGATTTAGAAAGCAATTATTCAGCTATTCGATGTTTTACAGAAGGCCTCCGCTTGCCCCCCTGGGGGGTCCCCAGGGTCGTTGGGCATATTTTTCAGGGTCAGATTCTGAATTTCCGACCCCGAAAACCCGTGCACACAAATTTCTACAACTTTTAGTCAATTTTTACCATTTTTAGAAAATTCGGAAAAATTGATGAACTCTGAACTCTGAAAGTGTAATAAATAGACTTTTTTCCTGATATTTTTCCGAAGACAATGCCGAAAACCGCAACTCGATCGGTTCATCAGAAAAAAATTTCTGATTTACTGTCTAACTTGCCTGGTCTATTTGGTTGAATAATTTTGTTCATATCTTTCACACAACTACGGAAGTCAATAAAATATAAACCGGAATTTTGTTACCAATAGTAATAAATATAGTAGCTAGTGTATAAAAATATGCAACATATAGGAAGAAGAAGCTTTGCTACTTAGTGTATTATTGAATTAAGAACGACTACTTAATCAACGAATTAGAAAGTAACGTAATAAAGTTAGAAAGTTAATGTAAATACCTTATTTTATAAATTTGGTCTGTCGCATCTATTTAAACTTTATCACGCACATTTTTATAGACAGGATGCGATAGATCGAAGAATACTGGATGTTTTTTATATAGTTTGAATTAATTTCTCTCTAAGTCACATGTATCTCATTAAACATCGGTTTTAGTTCTAAGACTTGACTGCGCTACCAATGGCGCCCCTATGGAAAGTAGAGTCCATGTTATTTTCAGTTTTTCAGTTTTTTTTATGTAGTGATGATGATGGATTGGAATGTTTGTGAATTTTTTTTCTTAAAATGGTCCCCTTAGTATTATCTAATAAAAGTCAAATACATGATAATTGTAGATTACTGTTTTATTGGAGACCTTATAAAAAAAAACAGTTGTATGGTCATTTCAAGTCAAAATTTAATGCGTAGCTTTGAAAATACAAGAAAGAGAAAAATTATTATAGGGCATCTTTTGGTCTTTTTCCCAACCAAGCCTTGATGTTGGGTATTGTCTCCACATTTTCTTTGACTTTCTGTAAATTCGGGAAACTCGATATTATGTCTTTCTTTACCATAAAATTTAAAAAATCCAATATAGCTGTAAAGACCAGATCAACCCAAGTCAACTGAAAACCAAAAAGAAAAAAAATTATAATTGGGCAGGAGCACTAAAAATTAATTTCAAATGATGTTTTATGTAATTAATAATAAAATTTAATTGATACCTAAAGTTGCTACGTTTACCTGATTGGATACTTACACGACCACCAACAAGGTAACCATTATTTTTCTTAGCTTGAGCATCTAGTTTTCCTAAGTAAAAGGGAAAAGTTTCATTGAATAAAGATTTTTCTTTCTCTTTTTTAGCTTCTTCATCTCTTTCAAAAGCGTACTGCGCGTGTTCTGGAATATAATAAAATAATAGATATTTTTCCATTTTTCTCTTCCCAGTTTTTATTGATTAAGAAGCAGATGTAACTATTACCAGTTAAATATAGTCTCAATCTTTCGTCATTTCAGCGATGACATATTATATCAGTCATATCACTCGGTAAAGCAATAAAATTAAATAACATGGATTTACCTACGTATTAAAAATTCAGTGAAGTTGAAGATGTGAAATGTGTACCATGACGCAACTAAAGTTCTGTGGTAGATTAAATACTTTGAAACTATGAAATTTTAAATGCAAACTTTGTTTTGGTGACTGTAACTGAAAAATAACATGCGCTGTCACTATGGAGAAATAAATGACCCAAATTTAAACGATTTCCAATGAAAAATTTAGAAATTATCAATTAAAAAACATATTTTTTATTTCTTTTGACATTTCTAAAACGAAGCAGTTGCGGGCCTACGTTTATAGGATTTTTTCTTATTTGGATGTTGGACGTAGAGAATAGAATCGGTTCTAGAATTCTTTGAACAACATTTTGCAATATCCTGTATACAGAGTGTCCCGAAATTAGGGGGCAATATTTCTACAGAGTGTTCTATGTCGAAGAAGATTACTTTTTCTTTACATAAACGTGGGTCCAAAAATTATTCCAAAGGAAGTTATAGCCACTTAAAGGGACCACTCTGATGATGGTTTTTTCTAAATAACTCCGAAACCAGTTGAGACAAATTTATAAAATTTGGTAACTAACTTAACTCTTACGTGTTCAGTCCGCCACTAAAATGAAATTTACAAATTTTCATCACATACGTTCCAATACTGGGGGGAGAGAGTTAAAATTTACCATAACTTTTTTATGCGTTGACTTTTTTGACTTTTGACTGAAAAGTATGAAATTTCATAGTCTTTTATTAAAAAAGGTACTCTTGGTTCATATTGGTAGAATATTCCATTTTTGTGTAAAATCCGTTCGCAGGTTTAATGCGTTTGACGTTATTTTCATCGACAGTTCAGTTATTTACTTTTTGTGAATTGTTATTTTCATAGAAATTTATTATTTTTAATAAATTATTATTTGACAAAGTAAAAAAAAAACAATTTAAATTAGAAATTATTAAATACAATAAACTAATAAAAATAATTGAAAACCGTACTATTAATAAAACTTGCCCGAGAAGAACTCAAAACTTCAAAATTATTTTGTGTGATTTGATTTGCAGCATAATAAATGAATCCTTTGTTGAAATTATTTTAAAGGATTTATTTCTTTAGCATAAACTACAACCTTCATCCTATCCCACAGAAAGCAATCTAGAGGATTTAGGTCTACAGACCGGCCACCTCGGTCTCTAGTCCCATGGAATGGGACCACCTCTACCTATCGACCTGCCAGGAAACTGATACTTTAACTAATTTATGACATAATGGGTAATGTGAGGTGGTGCCCCATCTTGTTGATAGTGTAATGTTAAGCGTACGTTTAATGGTGGTTCAATGGTTCTCTTACATCATTCCTTCTGCATTCAGAGAAACGGGAAACTGAATTAGTCCAAGTAGCAGAGCTGGTCCCCTAAAATTCCTGTACAAACATTTATTGCAAATCTATTTTGAAAATTTGTGCGCCGTATTGCCCGTGGATTTTCGTCTGACCGGAAATGAATATTATGAATATCTGCTAGCTCTACATTCGTAAAATATTGCATTTTCGACTGATAACAATTCGCAAAGAGTAAATAACTGAACTGTCAATGCAAATGACGCCAAACGCATGTTTGTTATTCAAAACCTGCGACGATAAAAAATATTGAGCATGTAAGAGTTAAGTTAGTTACCAAATTTCATAAATTTATCTCAACTGGTTTCGGAGTTATTTAGAAAAAATCATCATCAGAGTGGGCCCCTTTAAGTGGCTATAACTTCCTTAGGAAGAATTTTTGGACCCACGTTTATATAAAGAAAAAGTAATCTTTTTCGACATAGAACACCTATTAGAAGTATTGCCCCATAATTTTGGGACACCCTTCATAAAATTATTGAAAATCGTTTAATTGGTATATTATTTAGAAATTATAGTCGAAATTAATCAACCATTGGCATGTGTCACGTAAATGTCGACTTCTGTCATTTAGAGAGAATGAATAAACCCCTGGTTGTGATATCACTAAATGAAGCAGATATGATGTTCATATTTTCTAGGCGGTAGTCGTAATTTTTAAGGCTTTTAGTTAACGATCACCCAAGGAACAACCTCTTGAAGTAACTGCTCGTCTGTAAAGACACAAAAAGGAAACTGAAGTAAAAATATAACTTACTTAAACGTAAATCAGTAATGGTATCAACTGTTGCATCGATTTCCAAATCTTCCCAATCATCTTTACCAACCAGTTTTACTTGTTTTGCCAAATATCTACAAATGGCCATACTTTGACAGGCTATTTTTCCATTATGTTCCAAAAAAGGCAATTGTCCAAATGGGGTACCTAAAATCATGTTATTTTTTTAGTGATTCACTAAACTGAAGGAAAAAGGGCATATTATTTCAATAAGTGAAAGAGCCTGTTCGGAATGTTGTTCAAACAATTATATAAACAATATTGCTCTGCATATTTTACGTTATACAGGGTGTTTTTAAATGAAGTAGCAAAAATGGTACCACTGAATATAGAGCCAAAAATAAGAGGATTGAAGTAAAAATACCTCTGAGGCTCTTAATTTTAATTTTTTTTCTTTAACATGAGGAATGCTAGAGACACGAAACTTGGTATGAGCATCCTACTAATAAAGAGACAACTTTTCAATATTTGTTCGATCATTGGCGTATTTTATAAAGGAGTGAAACAGTCAACCCCATTGCAATATTTTATTAGAAATTTTTTATATGAAGCAAATTATTTA